TCCTAATTACAAAATTCGCCATTTTGGATCCGCCATCTTGAATTTCTTAATCATATAATACCCGAGCACGAAAACCCCGAGGTATCAATTTCGAAAAGAATTATAATTACAAAACTCGCCCGATATAGTAGATCCGCCATCTTGAATTTCCTAATGGTACCGGGATAAAAAGTTTCCTACAACCTTCTCCTGGGTCTAAGCTACCTCCCCCCCAATTTTCAGCCAAATCGATCCAGTAGTTTCAGAGCCTATTCAATACATACAAACAAACAATCAACCAAATCTTTTCTCGGGAGGTTTTATTTTGTGAATCTGAATAGTTTGAAGTTTGAATTGTTTTCCATGTAATTATTTTTTCAGAGCCAACATTTTATGATTATTAATATGCATTTGTTGAAGAATTCCGCAATTTAATGATAATATTGAACTTGTTGATAGTCTTTTAGTTCAGAGTATGTTTAGGAAAAGGCAAGGTTATATGCACATAACACCAAAACTGACTTTTGACAATGATTGTGTCAACTAAACTGAGAATTAACAAGCTTTGGAAGCTGATTGGTCCATTGGAATTATTCAACAAATGAGCTTCTGGGATTCTTCATTCAATTGTTAATTCTTAGTTTACTTGAGTTTATAAATCCAGCAAATAGAATAAATTTCATCAATGAGCCTTCAATATTTTGACATGTACAGCAGTTTTTGATTTCAACTTAAAATTACATTTCCAATGAAGTATATGGATGCAGGTTTTCAACTGTTAAAGTCAAAATCAAAGTACATGAAATTTTGTAACTATTTAGAGCGAAATGATAAGGAAGTTTTTATAATAAAATTGAACTAAGAGAAGCCTCTCATAATTACTCATAATACCAACTCTCATTATCAATCTTGAAGGGCATAAATTTGAAAAATTTGAGACAAACTATCAAAGCAAATAAAACAATTTACCTGCTGAGTGAATCTTCTGGTGAAAAAGGGTATCAGATACTTCAGATCATATTTTGCAAATCCTTTTATTTGATTGGATATAAATGAGACCTCCATTTCTCCTTCAGTAGTCTCAGACAAGTGTTCAGAATCCAAAGCTTGTCCCCATTCTCTGGTTTTACTCAAAGTGACTTCTCTGTCCTTCTTCCTCTTCTTCAATCGTCTGGAAGGATTCTTTGTGGCTTGCATAAATTTCAGTAGGGGCATAGTTGAACCACCAAAGAAGAGTGTAGTTACCAGCACGATTATCAGAGTGGTGGTTATGATAACATGCCTAGTTTCATCACTGAAATTGAGATGGAGAGATAGAGCATAAGAGATGGCCCCCCTCAGGCCACTGAACCACATGATGAACATCATCTTCTTGGTGATTTGATGTTCCCTGAATCTATTGACTAAGATAGCCAGAGGAAAGATGTTACAAGCTCTGCCTATCAAGCTTAAAATGATGCTCCACACTATAAAGGCTGGTTCTACCCTGTGTTTGAAACTGAACAGGGCCAAACCTAAGTAGGCAAAAACACAAGTTTCAGCAATGAATGCAAGAGTTCGAAGTGTTTGCTGCATAGTTATTTGGGTAACTGTGGAGAGATTATAATGAGTATAGTGGGACATTACTATACCACAGAATAATATTGCCATTATTCCAGAAAGATGGATACCCTCTGCTAATACATATGGGCCATATGTAAACACCAACATCATTCCAAATTCCAAGGACGGATTCTTCCTCAAGTCAACATGTTTCAACAACAATGCACTCACAAGGGCAAACAACACCCCTATGCCAGCAGAAGCAAAGAACATCAAACAGAATCTCTGAATACCCAGAACAATAGCTTCTCCAGTATTCATATCTGGGTTATTAGATTCTAGAGCTGCATTAGTTAAGACAATAGCAATGGCATCATTCAAAATACTCTCACCAAATACTAACATGTTCAGAATGGGATCAACATCCAAGGCATGGAAAATTGCCACAGTAGCTACAGGATCCACAGCTGATATCAGGGACCCAAAGGCGAATGACTCAACAAATCCCAATCTATAAACAACATCAGCTAAGCCAAGAAAATATATTCCAAATCCTATCACAAAAGCAGATATGGTAGTACCAAGAATGGCAAACACTAATATGGAGCCTATATTTTGAAAAAAGTTACCCTTGTGCAAGTTATATCCTGACTCAAATATGATGGGTGGTAGAAGAATAAGAAAGAAAGCTGTTGGTGAGAATGCTTCTTCCTTTCTCCAGTTGCTTATATTTCTGCTTGATAGAGCATTCATAATGAGACCTATTAGAGCTCCAAGAAACACTATAACTACACTTTCTGGGACATACTGAAAATGAGTCTGGAGCATCAGATGTATCAGTAGAATTCCTAGTGCTAGAACACATAATACAAAAAATATTGCCATAGAGCTGTTATGTTCATCTTCTGCAGATTCTTTAGCTGGTAAGACAGGTACAGGATCAATTGTTTCATGAGTGGTTGTATCATTATGAATTGTAACATTCAGAATGGTAGTAGTTTTAGTAATATTTTTATCTATTGGTGTACTATCAGTGGGATTTTTTGAATTATTGGAATTGGCTGGAGTGATACTATGGTTACTTGATGGAGCTGATGTTGTGGCATTGATCTCCCCTTGTTTGGGTCCTAGATTTGGTCCATGTTTTACTGCGTCCGTCGAATCATTTGAATTCTTCACATGAGCATTGTCTGCTGAATTCGTCACTTTATTTGTGTTTTCTAATAGGGCAATATTCCACAAAAATATAAAACAGATAAAAGAGCTGATAGCCCATTTCTTCGAATACATTTTAAAACTTCAGTTTCATCATTTTTCATATACAGTATAGTTAATTATCACTTCTTTTAATGTAGGTATCACTTCAAATCTGGTAATTATTCTTGTAGAATTGTTTAAAATTCAATATACTCATGATTCATTCATGTCAGGATCAGCAGTGGGACTCTGTAACTCAAAGCGAAAGCGAAAGCATGCGTAATCGACTGCTTTTGCCGTTTCGGTACTCTGTATCAATATTCGGATGAGGTCGGAGACGCCGAACGTGAGTTCGTAAGCGAAGCAGAAGCGAAGGATTTTGGTTGTCGCTTTCTGCGATTCTCAACGATTGAGGTTATAGGTATTGGTTTTTGTTGTTGTTCCTAGTTCGAACTTTGTGTTGATTTGAGAAAAATAATAGATTAATAAATGAGGAATGAGCCCAAACATGGATAACAAAGCGAGCAAAAACACAACCCAGTCAGTGGGACAGATTCCTCAGTTTTACGAACAAAATCCTAAAGATATTCCAGAGAGATGGAAGTTCCCTTTGGTAGGATTGAGGTAGGGGATGAAAGAACGTGAGACGTGAGATAAAAAATATGATAGACAGTGTGATGAAAACATACAGCTCATTTGGTAGTTGAAAAATTAACTGAAAACCGCTGAAAACTGTCATTAGTGCTGTTGAATTAGGGTCTGGAATAATTCATATTCATTCGAATTATCCTTCTCTTTTAGATTCCTGATACATCAAAACAGGCAGATATAAGTAGCTTCTCCAAAAAATTAAATGTGCCATTACTGAATGTTGTCTTACTGAATCCTTGTTAAGAAAAATATGTCTTTGGTGTGAGTCCATTGAAGAAGACAATAATAGGTAATTAAAGAATCCTACTAATATAATATGCCGATACCTACAACAGTGGAATATAACAGAAAGCCTGGAACGTTCAAATTTGAAAAATTTGCATAATAAGTGCATTGGAAGGGAAAATAATTTGGATAGCAAAAACCTTGGAGACACCCAAGAAGAACTGTGTAATATTACTGTGTACCAATAAGGGAGAATCAAGAGTAAATTCCATGAAACAGGATTAACTGAACATTATTTACTATGTTGAACAAGAACAAGAACGGATTCTACTTTCACTACATTAATAATTCCATCCAAGATTCTAAAGTGAACTGTAAGAAAAAGTGCATCTGTATAAATGCACTTTCAACATATAGCTGCCTTGCAGAAGGCGATTCAAGGAATTATATGTGCTCATCATCTTGTTTAATTTGCGATATAGAGAAGCAAGTTCTTATAGGTATTACATTATAGTATGTAAATAATAATATACTGAGTGTTAGATTATAGAATGATATGTCCATTATAAATATAAGCAGTTACATATCTTACAATATTATTGTTATTCTCAGATCATTTGCCTTTACTAGTCGCATTTTTTATATGAACAAAGTAGGTACATATTTTCCAATGAGCTGAGAGTATTTTTGTTGACCTTGATGTCAATATCTGTTTGTAGTCAATACATTTATTCCAATTCATAGAAATAAATCATCGTCATATGTGTTTTTGATGTTTTATTGAATTTCTTTTCTCTCGGAAACTTCTCCAAGTGCTTTATTTCTGATTGAAACCAAAAATTAACAATACAATAATTCGTAAATGCCGCTTTTTTGATCCACTGGGATGTTTCCTTTGAATAAATGGGATCCGCAACACTGTTGCCAAATTTAACTCCACCAACTTCGTTCTATTTCGTATGAAATCGTATGACGATAGCGAAAGCATAACGAACTACATATAGAGTACCGGAAAGCGAAGTCGTATACTTCGCTTCGTTTCGCTTTCGCTACGCTTTCGCTATGCGACACAAGTTACAGAGTCCCACTGCAGGTGATCGTCTCAGAAATGATTACAAATTTACAAATTGTCCCCAGTCAGTGTCATTACTGTCACTAGTGTCAGTCACTCGATTACAAGTAGAAGTTCTAGAATTTGCCAATTTACCATTTGGTCACCGTCACTTTAATGATTAAGGGCGGACGTTGAATAGAATCATAATAATTATATGATAAGTGATGAGAAGCAGAATTCAATTATTTTTGTGTTGTGTGGTTATATGGAGATTTTGTCTTCCGACTCTTCCGTTCCGATTCTTCCGAAAGAATTATCTTTGGAATTATTATTACATTAGAACTCTGGTAAAATGGTGTTCAAATGCCAAAAAGATTCTTTTTTGAAAGAGGTCAGTAAAATTAAACAAACGTTCTAAACCTGTAATTGAAAGTGTATTTCAGTTTACTACCAAGGTTGCAGTTTGCCAAAAAGCAATCTCCCATAATGAAGGCTTTGAAGTAATTTTAGAAGATACAATACTGTTTCCTGAAGGGGGTGGACAAGTAAGTATGAAATACAAAGGTGCCTATATACAGGGTGAATCATAACTATTGGGACGTAGGCTAAGGCGCTAAGGGCAGATTGTTTGGACCAAAAAATGGCAATGAAAGACGGAATATGCTTCAATGAAAAAATATTCAGAGCATTGAAGTTGTTTTTTTTTTCGATTTTGCGGTCGAGGTAAAAGTGCACTTATCATGGGATGGTTTTTTTTTCGAAAATGTTTTTTGGTAGGTATACTTGCGTATTTTCGTCTGAAAAACACGAATTCCACAACGAAAATTACTATTTATCCAGATATTTTCCGAAAAAGTTCCAAGTTTCACCTTCTTTCGCCACCCATCTTGGATAATCATTTACAGCTACATAAAATATGGAAAAAATTGCTATAAACCAAACTATTGTTTACCTCAATTGCATGTATGAAAAAATTCCATATGAACCATACTTCTTGTTGATTTTAGGAAATAAAATGTGTTATTGAAGTACAACGTGAGTATATACATATAGTGTCCAGTGATGGAAAAAGGACAAGTAGATGTAAATGAATATCCAAGATGATGATTTTCATTGTGGAATTCATGTTAAAAAAAAATTGAAAAAAAAACGATGATAAGTGCGCCTTTACCTAAAGGGTATAATATTATTTTATGTATTATTGGGGATTATAATCCAATAAATGTGACAAAATCGAATAGATGATAACTGATAACTTATCTGAGGTATTATACATATTTATTCTATATAAAGGATTTTGAAACAGAAATCAAATACTTGTATTTTTTCTACATAAGGAGTTCATCATTTTTATTTTTGTTCAAAAACATTCCTACTTTCTATTTATAGTCAATAAAGTTTCTATAAAATTATATCAGTAGCTGGATACCAAAATAAACAACACAAATAATACTGACAAAATAGGGGGTGGAATGGCTAGTCATTTCACATATTGCCGGCAAACAACGTAACTCTAAATTTCGTACACCGTTTGCCTAATAGTTTCAGGCATTTCCTGTAATGAGGAAAGGAAGGTTCATTCAGACCAAGTCAGCTTAGGTTGTTTAGAAGCAGTAGTCTCTTTTGTTCTCTCAAGTGATTTTCTGAAAAATATACTTTCTAGGAAGAAGGTTCATTTAGGCGGAAAAATACTCTCCCTTCTTATGCATATGTAGAAAGGATATTTTCCTTCCGCAACCCTCCGGCAAACAGAGTAACGACTGAAAATGGAAGTTACGCTGTTATGCTGTTTGGCGACAACACGTGAAATGACTAGGCATTTCAGGGAATGGCCGATTTCACTAATTGACGCCGATATATACACTGATAATGGCGATAGTTGTGCTATAGTTCCGAAAATCAAGCCAATTAGAGAAAGAAGAACTGCGAATCCTTTTATCTTCCATTCGACTTCACGGATAGATGAATTACAATAAAACAACCACTAAATTCGCAATTTTTGAAAATCAAATCACAGAATTAGATTGTCTGCAACGCAGGTGTCATCCCTGCCAAAAACTTCAAATTTTCTGATTTAAATATTGATTCGTCCTTTTTCCCGTCACGTGTATTATACACGGGAAAAATATTAGATTTTGGCTCACGGTTTTTTTGTCTCCCGACGCATACTAAATTCTACTACTTTTTTCCCCTGTGTTATGAATTACAATTGTTTAGATTTTATAGTTTAAGAATTCATCAAATAAATAAACCTTGCGTTGATTGAGTAAACCTCGTTTTCTCTTCTTCACATTTTCTAATTCTAATCCAGAAGTTTCCAAATATTTTGTTGTAGTGTATGCATTTTTCAACTTTTGAACTTTTCAAATAAACCTCCAGAGACTGATAGTTGATTAGCCCAATCTAATAATAATCTATTAAACCAATGACTTGTAAGAGATTAAAAGATTCAATGAATGGCCACCATTCCAGTGAGTAGGAATGGTAGTTTCTCACTCATATTCGCCCTATATTATATTGATATTGTAGCCATGTGATTATGGTTTCCTGAATGATATACCAATCAAACAAGTTTTGAGGAGAGAAGATAAAGCAATACATTATGTTAATCAACCATTAGAGGTTGGGACAGAAGTTTTGCAGAAAATTGATTGGGAAAGGCGATTTGATCACATGCAACAGCATTCTGGTCAGCATCTCCTTTCTGCTGTTCTAGAGAAGGAGTTTCAGTCACCCACTGTGTCATGGTGGCTAGGTGAAGAAACATCTTACATTGAACTAGGTAAAATGAAAAAATTACTTGCAATAAATGGAAATTAAAAAGTATTTGCGATCACCATCGGCACCAAGTGTCACACCAAAACTACGGGAAAACAAAGGGAATGTCATCTTGATGTCATATCCATATGTCATTTCTGATATGTTCTTTTGGTGGTTTATCTCGACTTCCAAATTATAATTTTCCAAATGCCTATTGTGAACATAAATTTAGCTTGTATCATTGAGTATTTTAGTCACAGAACTCAAAGACCTCGAGTTCTGTGATTTGAGTGGGAAAATTAGGCCTGTGGTCGAAGGGGAAGCAGATTCCATGCCAACCATGTCCTCCTGTGCCAGATAGAAGATGTGAAATAGATGAATTTTTGTTCTTTGTTTACAAAGTTTTGGAAGCGTAATATATCAATCAACGGTTTTGGTCTTTGTTTACAAAGTTCTGCATTCTTGCATTGCTTCACTGATATATGTAAAGGTAGATTTTGAATTTGAAATTGAATCTTCTGAAGTTGAGAATTTGCATTCTCTCAGAAAAAAAAATATATGTATTCGGAACAACATTTAATTACATTTGTTGAACATCCAATTATCAGAAAAATAATTATTTATTACTTGGTGTGAAATGTTCCAAACTGAAGTGTTCACTGCAAAGACAGATATATTTACCTCGATATTTACTGATCGGTTTTCCGATTTCCAATCTGTTTTTCCCTTCATTCGCCCATTCCTGCCTTTTTGAGAGGAAGTGCATCAAAACATTTTCTGATGTATAATTATTACACTCCCGTACAGAACAAAATTTTTCGATCTACTAGTCATAACAAATATATGAACTTGAGATTCACAAACGCAAATTCAACAAGTAATGCCAACAAAAGGAAATATTCGATAATATATCACCACAATGATATATCCACATGAAGTGACACTATAGCCATCTTAACAATGACTTTGACACCATTCCTTTGACTTGTTTCACTTGTTTGTTTTCCCGGAATTCACAGTGTAACTTTATAAATGTAGATGTCGCCATTTCCGAGGATATCGCGAATACTTGGATGGTTACTGGAAAGAAAGACATCCATTCAAAAGTAAAAATTTTGACCGGAATCAAAATCCTTACTAGACTAGTTTTTTTTTTTCATTCGAACTGATATTGACATAAACATATTTTATTTCTATAGATATTCAAAAAATTTCTGATGTGCAGATAAAAAAAACAGAAGAGATAGTAAATCAATATATAAGGCAAGGAAAAACTGTGACAGTCACCATTCTTTCCAAAGACACACCTGCAGAGGAATTGGAATTGGTAAGACTATATTATGTACAGGGTGTCCCGAAATTACATAGACATATTTCAACCGCAGATTGTAGGAACAAAAACAGTAAAACAAGTTCATATAAATATGGGTCCAGAAATGGCCCCCTGGGGGTTATATAGCCACCCAAAGGGGAGTCTGAGATGATGGTTTTATGTCAATATTTCTTAAACCCTTTGTGGTAAAATAACAAAATTTTGTACATGTAATATTTGACCTACAATCGAGCCTCTATATAAAAGGGGGCACCTTTCTAAGCAGACCCTTTATCCTTTATAATGAGAGTAAAACCAACCCTATTTGAAGGTACGTAGCGCCAAAGACCTTCCTGCAGATCATGTGGGCGACATAAGAGTGATCAATATAGAAGGGATTGATAGCAACATGTGTTGTGGTACACACGTCACAAATCTCAGTCAGTTGCAAGTTATAAAATTGCTGCACACAGAGAAGAGTAAAAGGAAAGATAAAATATTATTGCATTTTTTGGTTGGAAACAGAGTTGTTAACAGATTGGATGTTTGTATCGATCGGGAAAGAAGACTCACCTCCCTGTTGAAGTAAGTTCACCCTTAGATCAACAAAAGACCTTATAGTAATATTCTCAAACTCCCTTCAATGCCGCAGAACACGTCAATATCAATGCAAATCTGAGTTTTGGCTATCGTAAAGTGTAAGGTATAAGATTCCATTTCAAGTATCAAAATTTTAAAAAAGCTGTTATAACTTTCGCACGACCTCTTATATAGAATAAAAGGGCAGGTTACACATAACAGCTTTGCATCCAACAAAGCTTGGGTGCAACATGAGGTTCCCCAAGGCACAATATTGGGCCCTACTCTTTTCCTAATTTTTTATAAACGATTTATGGGATCATTTTATCACCAATTAATAATAAGTCTATCCAAACAAATAATAAAAATGAGGAGTAATGAATTCTCTAAAGTGATAGGGTGACTTGGCTCAGAAATATGTTGAGCAATATGTTTTTTCAATCTCATGCCAATGCTTCAATGTGTTTACCTACTTGACGATATTTGGTGGTTGAAAATAATGATCTGTCATGCAGTTGCATTTGGTCTAAGCTCCCATTTATTTAACCAGGAGCTTATGTCCATCAGTTCATTAAATATCTGCAAATTGGCAACATGGATTTGAAGCTCGTCAACATCTTTGTTACTTCAATATAAATAAGTTTCATGTGAAAGCTTCTCTTTGATTCTAGGGTCTTATTTGAGTTGATCTGAGTAGGGTGCCTTGAACATTTCATTTTACGCCCTTTGAAGAGTGTGGACACACTTGTCATGTTAAACACCAATCAAAATGCATGAGACACAAATATGTTTTATAGACGCCTATTCAATTTTCAGAGCTGACGTTTTCAATCTGGGAATGATGTCAGTGGTGACAAGCTGACAAGCGTGTCCACATTCTTTAAAGGGCGTGTAACGAGATGTTCGAGGCTCGAGGAGTTTTGTAAAAAATTATGTTAGTGAACAATATAATATATGTGTTTGTTTAATCGACGCATTTTTAGCAATAATCCGTCACAACATCCTGAGCTGATTGAAAAACTCCAGAAAAATGTCAAATCTCTCAATAAAAATACGCAAACTCTTTTGAAAGATATTGCAATATTAGAAGTGCATAAACTGAAGACTATGCCGCATCCACCAAAGTATTTTTCGTTGCACAGAAAGGAGGCCGAACCCGATTTCATGAATACGTTCATCAAGGAGCTTGGGAAAACCGAGATATTCTTGTTTCTTTCAACAGGCGATGAAAAACAGTCAGGAAATATTGTGTTGTACGGTGATGAGAAGGCTGTGGCTGATTTGGGACAAAAGTAAGTTGAAGATATTCTTATGTCAATGAAAGTAATGTATCCAAGAAACTTCATAGTAGTAGAATAATCTGCCTACCAGACGTTTGGCCTACCGAACCTTTTACCTAACCTGACCGACTCACCCTATAAATCTAAAACCATTGTTTTACTAACCGCCTTAGCTTCTCAGGTAAGGCACTAGCCGTTCGATATCTGAGGTAGAGCAGGGTCAGTTGGTTAGTACTTGAATGGGTGGGTGACCATTCAAGGAAAAGACGCGTAAGCCCGCACATCTGTAGCGAAATAGCGTATCATAGCTACAGCTACCATATCAATGAGCACAAGATATGGTACGGATATGCCTCGGGATATGCCGTCCTTCGGAGAGGACGTTAAGCCGTCGGTCCCGAGGTCATGTATGTTGGACTCATTAAAGATCCCAACCTCTGGTTGGTACACCAGGGGATTCAGAAATATTCCCGGTTGGGGGTTGTGTGCTCACCGGCGTCCGTGATTAGCCTCAGTTGCAGAAAAAGACCGACGTTAAAGAAACGAGGAAAACAATAGTTCTACTAATAATTGAAGGGGCAAGTGGAAGGAGTTATGTTACAAATATGAGTTTGTGAAAAAAATAGGTTTTGTAAAGTTAGCTAGCATTTTTTAATGAAAGCCAGTTTGATAATTTGATTTATGCAATTGTGAGGAATAGTTTTAGGTTGTTTTTTATGATTTACTGCATTTTGCTATCATATTATTTTTTTGATATACATATGGATTTATGCGTAGATAATGGGCACATCGCTCCTTCTTCCATTGCATCCTAGATGTTTTGTGTGACTTAGCCCCTTCTGCCACTGTGTATCTACTCAGATATGAAGAATGAAAACAAATCCTGACAGGGCAAGTTACATATGCACGTAACACCGTCTTCCATGACATAACCGAATATTTTCAGAAAATGTTGAACCCCTTCTTCCGATTGCCCCTTCAATTATTTTTCATAGGTGAAAGATGGCTAATTACAGGTAGCTTGAATTTTCTCCTGGAATATTTTTAGGATATGTATTGATTTGACCTACCAAATGTGACTGAACAATCCTTTTTTTTTCAGAGTATGTGAATTGTTGGACGGAAAAGGAGCTGGGAAAGGGAATAAATTCCAGGCCAAAGTTAATAAAATGGCGAATCGAAAGTCAGCTGAAAAATATATTACAGAATATTTTAATAAATCCTAAGCTCTAGGTCATAGTAATATTACTGAATCTCTCCTTCCAAACCCTCGGGATGATAGAAGTTATCATTTCTAGAAAATTCACAATCAACTCTGTTGACAAGCTCTCACAGCTATCAATTGTAATAGTATAAAAAGAGGTGCAAACACTTCCGAGTAATCGAAGCTAGTTTGACCCAGCAGTTTTCTATACAACAAATATTTGAACAGAAACGTCATCAGTAACAATATCCCCGACCAAGTGATCCTCAGCAATGAGAACTTGAGTGTCATTTCCAGCAACATCCTTATGAAGATTATTATGCAAAAGTACGCATTCAGAGCGTCACCAGCAAAAAGCGGGAAAAAAATCATCCCCCAATCATTGGCGTGCAAATCCACGCTGGGGTCGTACTTAAACACGAATATGATAGTGAACAAGAGGAATGATATCAAGTTTATCCATATTTCGAATACAGTGAGACCCAGCCATCTGACCAGTTCCTCTGTTGTGAAGAACATTTTATTTTTGTTTATCCAGCGGATTTGTGTTGAAGACTCTTATTCGAAGAGCCGAGTTGTAACGTTTTTGGATTTCGTAATCGGCATCGTCGATGACTGGTTCCAAGTCATCTGAAAAGAGTAGGTATTATTTTACTGGGTATGTCACGAGGAGCTTACACTATCTCTATATCGAGAATCAGTCAGTTTAAAATAATTTTAGCAATGCAGTGTTACCGCTTCTATCAAAATGTAGCAACAACTTTGTTATTACAAATAGAATACCCAGTATTTCATCGCATTTTTAGATTCTCCCTGAAGAGCTGATTTCATTGATACATCACACTTGGGGTCTACCGGAAATGATTACAAAGATATAGGGTGTTCAAAATCGAGATTTTCAACTTTAGGATTCGTTTGTGTCGACACTATTCAATAGATCCCAAGTGTGAGGGAGAATCTGAAAATGCGATAAAATACAGGGTGTTCCATATAAAATATCAATGTTGATACTAATTTCTAGTAGAAGCGGCTACACTGCATTGTCGAAAATATTTCATATGAAGGGAGCGTATTCTAAAATATGAGCATGCACTTTTTCATGGATTTCTCCCGACTGATTCTCATTTAAAGATAGTGTAAGCTTGTCGCATATAATCATTTGTCCCAACTTGTTTTACTTTTGAGAAACAGAGTGTAAATATCCATATTTCCATGAAAAATCTTTTTTTCATTCATTAAGTCAATCTCAATTATAAGTCAAGCCATTGGTTTTGTTAATTGTCAGATGGAGCTTCTTCTGGTGTAAACAGATTCTGAATAATAATTGCCTACAGTAGTGTTGCAGTTTTTAAACGCTTTTATTCGACTTGCAATATATGTATGTAATAAGTATTCGGATGGAATCTCTGAACTCAATTTGAGTAGATATCTTCAACCGATTGAGTTAAAATGTTGTATACACGTTTACTTTGGATGACAATGCACGATAAGGTGTGTGACGTTAGTCTTAATCCAATATGGCGGACCATCCATGATAGCGGAATAGTTATTTTCAATGCACTTCCACAATGTGGGTGTCAAATGAAAGGGCTTGTGGAGAGTAACTGGAAAAATATTGTGACGTCATTCTAAATCCAATATAGCGGACCATCAAAGATGGTAGAATAGTTTTTTTTTCAATCTACTTCTACAATATGAGTGTCAAATGAAAGTGCGCCTTAGGATCAACTCGAAAAATAATGTGAAGTCATTCTAAATCCAATATGGCGGAGCATCCAAGATGGCGGAATAGTTATTTTTTTTTTCAAGTAAGTAAGTAAACTTATTCAATTAGATTTTAACAATAATTTTTGATGAGAAGCCACCTAAGCTAAGCTTGTACTGTGGGCCATTCTCTCATCATACATGTTTATGTTAAATTACTAACAAACAAAAAAAGACATATCTACTAGCAGATTGAAATGAATTATAATCTATCATTCCTATAAGTGTTATAAGGAAAGGAAGAAACAAAAAGAGATTATTAATGCACTTCTGCAATATGGGTACCTATCAAATGAGAGGACTTGCCTCCCAGTGCTGCCAATGTGCGGAGGATCCTCCGAAAAGGGGTTGTTTTTGGCGTTAGAGGTTTTTTAGGAGGAGGATTCACAAAAAGCGGAGGAAAGGGGTTTTTTCAGCCATCACTGTAATTTTGTTACTCAACTTTAGTTGGGGCTTGCGCGAGCAACCTCTGACCATGATTGCCATGATCATGATCGAACCCTCCGTGAGTCTATGAAATCGGAGTCTGTGTTCTTGTTCTGTGCTTCTGTGGTGGTAACATGAATAATTAACCGTCGGTTTTAGTTTTGTGGTCGGTGTCAATGTCAATGGTGTGAATGATGTCATAAATCTGTTTTACACTGTCACAACTCACAACACAACCACTAACAATAAAAAAATATTGATATCAAATAAAAATAACAGATTTTATGAATATTTCCAGTTGTATTTTCATTACTCATTGGGTCATTGGCAAGATGACAAATACGTCAATTTACATCAAGGGACCCTAGAAAACACCAGAGACCAGAAGAGCCCACAATGTCACAGATTCATTTGTTTCGTATCACGCGTCTCACGGAATATTTTTCGACGAGATTCCTTAAACTGTGATTTATGTGACGTCAGATTCCGTTTCATTTCATACCTTTTATAACCGTGTCGAGAAGAGGAGGTTTTCGTTCATTTGCGGAGGATTTCACGTCCTAAAGAGAAGGAAGGGCTCGAATTGCATTGGCAACACTGCTTGCCGAGAATAATTAAAATATTGTGACATCACTCTAAATCCAATATGGAACACTATTGAAGTTTTTTGTGCTTTCCTATAAAATGAAAGGGTTTGCTGAGAATAAAGATGCAGGTTTGAACATCCTGCGTACCTAGGAGAGATAGGGAGAAAACTCGGGAGAGAAGGTAGGTATTGGAATATTTTTGAACTTTTGGAAATTATAAGTTCTTGGGGATGCTTCCTCTGTAAAGAATTCTAAAGCTTTGAATAACCTTATAAGTAGATATTTTTGGTGCATATCATTGTACAGGGCACTGATTTTCATAGCAATAATAACAAACTTCTTATTCCTTGTGTTACTTTTATATCTTGCTGTTTTTGGGAAAAAGTCTTTAACTATACTGAATGTTGGCATCATGAAACTGATACAGGGGCGTCACAAAAAAAATTAATACCTCCAACTTTATTTAGTAAAATATTACAAGAAATCACCTCAGCCTTTAAAGGCTGATTTAAAATGCCATGTAGATATTTCAAGGACATTTTGATGGGATCAAGGTAAGACTCTCTTTCAAATGAACATGTCCTAAAATACCTCCCTCTGGGCTACAGCCACTATGAGGTCTATGAAAAAACAATTATTTGAATCACTTCCCCATGCAAAATTCCACCATCACAAAAAATGAAGCATTTCCTAACTAGTTACATGAATCTATTGTACAACAAGTGTACAACCATTTTCAAAATGTGTAGATTCATAAAATGAATGAATAAAAAATAACAAATGAGCATCTAAACATTATGATTGAATACATCAAATATTGCACAGTGGTTCTGCTAGCTACCAAAACATATCATGTCTAACCATAGTTAAAAGTTAGAATATTACAAATTCCTGAATTAGTAATAGAACAGTCTTCAGGAATGATACCTGGGAAACTTGAGGAACATCAGATTTTATTATATTACTCATTGCCTTCATAATTTCCTATTGCCAGGAAACTCATCAACAATAATTTGAATAAATGCAAAGTAAATTCTGAACAACTTAATTTAATTTTAAGCAGCTACATATGTATAAAACAGTCTTCAAAGGAATAAATCCAAAATCTGATGAGATCAAACTATTCTACCCTTGAGATTAGCCTAAGATAGGAATAATGAAAATGAATTATGGATACATGAAAAACTTACCAATTAGTTCAGTTGTGAGGGTATTGGTATGAATCTTGAATGTGATATTGTTCTCACATATCTGCAAGGCAAGCAAAATGCCCCTTTGTATTGCTGCTCCTAGACAATGAATGATAATTTCATCTTCCTTGTTGTTTATCAGCTTTTGACAACGTTCAAGGTTTGCCTGGATCAAAGGATAGTTTAATTTGATATTTTATGATTTCTAAATGGTGCCGTTTTGCCAGAATAATATACTGAATATGCCACTGCCTACATCTTATGGTTGTACCACAGATAAATGCTCAGAAAAATTACTGTATCAACTATAGGTACCTATAGACAAATTCCAATCATCTATGACATGATTGAAATGAGGGACTGTTTCATATATACCATTGACAAATTATGGGTGAACTGCAGAAGCTTTACCTTTATATTTGTTTTGGAAGACACATAGATTATATTGTCACCCCTTTCTACTTTTTTCGGTTGCCGTGGCTGTCGCAGGTGCTCCTCACTTGTTCTTTTGTAATTTTTTTTACGATTCTGGCCAGTATTATTAACACTTCCTTTCTTTATGTTATCCGCCATGAAAATGTTATCATTGGCAAAGAAAAATCAAAGCAACTATTTGATGGGAAACGAAAATGAAAAATTATAAACAATTTAATTTAACCTATAAAATAATGTCAAATTGTCAAACGCCAAACATCTTCTTATTATTATTGACACTGTTGGTCAGAATTGTAACAATCTTGGGATTCTTCCATCATTCTTCCATCATTGCAACATTTGTAACCAGACTATTTGATTTGAAGCAAAGGGCAAATGGTAACATGCATTCTAGTACATGAGAGCAAAATGAAATACACGAAGAAGAGAAATGGACCTAGAAATAAATGGAATTAACCATTTTATTTGATATCTAATGTTTTGTTTTCTCGTGATTTTTCAGTCGATTTTTCTTAGAATTGAAATCTGTTTGTGAGTTTTGCGATGTCTTTTCAAAAATTGGCTGCTTGGCTTCTCACAGATAAAGGTAAACATTTCAGTTTCATTGCCGCTGGTACTGCTACTACAGCAACACTTGTGGCAACATTTTTACCACACACTTTATTATTGGAGCAATACAAGAACCTGGTTCATCTATACAAGTGAGTACTTGAGTACCATTATCACTTTTCACTAACAATTTCAATCGGTTCATCTTTCAGAAATGGTCTATCTGTTGCACTTACTCCAGTATTGCAGGATAGGTTCCAAAAGACATTGAAGCTCCTTGAGGTATGCTGAAGTTCAAACAAAATTGAGAAAAGTGATATCTGTATTAACCCAATTCAAAAAACATGTCTTTTTAATTTGTCTTCACTCTCTTTGCCAGAAAATTGTTTGAATTCTTGTGAATGTCTATTCATAAGTGATTCCCTTTTTTCCTTTTTTAGTGTTCAGTCTTAGGCAATAGTACTAAGTATTATTCTGGGTATCATTATTTTTACCTAATGTATTGTTTTTTTTCAGGTGAAACCAATAGATTATCATTTATATAAACCATTTTTTTCTTATGGGTTTGAGGTGATAAGTGCTGGAAGTTCCTACAGTAGATTTGGTGTAATTGTTGGATTACCAATTAATTTTTCATATAGCAGTCCTGAAATGGTAGATAGATCTAAAATAAAGGTGAGAACTTCTGTAGTTTATACAGTGAATATCCTCATGTTCCTGGTTTCTACATTCTTATTATTGGGCTGTAACCAGGGTTGGCATGAATTGATTCATATGAATCAAGTCTGTGAATTGATTCATGAATTATTTCAAATGACTTTTTTCATTAAAAATTTCTCCAATGGCAACAAATTGCATTATTACCTTCAATTTGAACTAGTTTTAACTCTCCTTTATACTGAAGTATTCTGACACCTGAAATAGTTATTTTTCTCCAAGCTGCATAGAAAAGTGTCTATATGACACTTAACAGGCAGGAAATATGTACATTCTCTGCCTAGGCAGGAAAAGTTTGTTGCTATGCAACATTGCAAGTAATCTGAATGAAATTGCTAATCAAAATTAACACTGGCACTGGACTTTTAAGTCTCCTTTCAAGTACTTCAGTATTTAAGTACTTGTTTTAGTACCTTTTTTTAAGTACCAGTTTTAAGTTTTTAAAGTTATCTCACTGTGGAGTTTGTAAAAAATTAATTTATATGTATTTTTTCTTTTTTTCTTAAGATCAAATTCCACTTGAGAAAAAAAAAATAAAAGAGGAACATGGCTCCTCCACCATTCCTACAGTATGACGTTGCCGACATCATCAATATGTCTAGATTTCCGTAAATTGTTCTTTGAATTCATAATTACTATATCATAACAGCAGTAGGATACAATATTCATAACTTGTCAGTCATTTTTTGCTAATGAATTCTTTCCTCAATAAAACTCGTCTATCATAATAATATAGGTAAGTTACAGATTACATCTTGCAACAGCGCTTAATACTTCAAGTCCGTCCACACCATTCAAAATACTGACAGGCAAGAGGAAGTAGACATGGGTGTCGGCTTCATTCTGTTCTGACCGATGACAGGAAGGATAGTATCATTGATTGAATGTAGCAGATAGTGATTCATTGATTCAATCTAAGGATTCAATTATATTTTCGTTTAGGATCCAGCTCTATTGGAGATATTTCCAAGCATAAATCACACTGAACTATAACCTGTCAGAATGAAGCCAACTACCTTCTGCATTCCTGCTATGAGTGCATTTGTGATATGTTTTTGTTTACCAGTTCTAGGACAATCTACTTCTTGTATTTTTTTCAATCGTTTTTCATTCCTTAGCTATACCCTAGCTATATTCTTCACCATAAGCTATTTTCTGACTAGATTCAAAATGTACATCACAGTATATGCATCCAGGAAAATTAGAAATTGCTTTAATTTCAAAATGAAAACGACTTGGACTTTATTGGTTGCCATTCAGTACAGAGTGGACAGAAAACTGGAGAGTTCCCAACTTATTTTATGAAAATTCATCTGAAGGAAACTTCCCTATTCAGTCAAGGTAGTCAGTCTACATTTGCTGCCGTGTGAAACCGTGAAACACGTATATTTTTCTATTTAATTTTTAATGATTTGATTTTTTTTTGAAAACTCCATCATTTTGTGTTCACCCAATATCAGTGTCAATTTTGTAACCAATTCCATTCAAAATACTTGGAACGTTACTCAGCAACAAACTTTTTCTACCTAGACAGAGAAAGTACACCTTTCCTGCCTGTTAAGTGTCAGGAAAAGCCGCTTTTCACGAGACTTTCTATGCTGCTTGGAGAAAAACTAAATTTTCAAGAGCTGCTTTACAGTTTCCAATTTTTCATTGCACATGCAATTGATTGCTTACAATTTTTATTTCCGGCAATAATAATATGTAGACCTCAAAATCCCCTTCACCATCCATCAAACGAACTTCTATAACTGCTAACCAGGGTGAAAGACTGAAAAAGCTAACCTTGAAGTTTTCCTATAAAACGAATTCAATCTCCAAATTATCCAATTCCAGTGTTTACAGAGATATCCAACAGTGAACCCAAGACGGAAGTTTCCGGAAAACACACTATTATTGGAATGCTTAATCAATTCAGAATACTGAAATTCCTTCAAAATTCTTGCCTCACAAATCACAATGGACTTCTTTTTTTTTACACCAGCAAATTTAATAATTCCATATATCTTGTACCTACAAAAAATCAAACTTTTGTTCCAATGGCCAATTAAGGAAAAACCACGAAAACGTCCCGAGATGAGGCCTCAGTGTCATAATATGACTGACTTTTGATCAGAAAAAAATTTCTCGCGTTCTGGCAGCACTGGAAATGTAGACCATAGTGTAATGGTTCCACTTTACACCCTGTGTGAGTTTTGTTCTGCGGACTTTTTCAGAGTGTTCTAGCTCTCTTTGAAGCTGATGAAAATAAATATCACATCTGATATCGGAAACCGCATGAAGTGGATAATAGGTCTATGAGATCGGTCAATTTTTTCAAAAAATACGGGTCTTCGAAATAGTGTCAAATTATGAGTGGTCCATTTAGTGTGTTGAGAACTGTATATATTTATTATTTCAGATAATGCAGGAATCCATAGTTTGGGAATCTGAAATTGGCCAACAGCTTTTGAATTCTCTGTTTCTATCAGAAAATGCCCAATTATATGCAATGGCTAGGGAAATAAAATACAGACAAACTGGAAAACCAATGTTTGATGTCTTACTGAGTACAGCAGCATGTGGTGTTACATATGGTGTGAGCCATCATCTCAATCAGAAATTCAATTTATATGCAAAACCTCTGGGTGTTAGATTAGTTGTGTATACATTGGTTGGTTTGTTTATGATAGGTTCATACACAATGTCCAAAGATATGACTCAAATGTATTATGAGGAATCTATTGATAAAGAATTGAAAGAAAAAAGTACCATATTTGCAGAGGGTGGTAAAGAATATTATACCAAATTGTTGGAAAGAAATAAAGCCCTGAGGCATTTGTTGGGGAAGGAGGGAGAAAGGCTTTATAGCATACTAGGAAATGAAAATTATTTTTTAAGAAACAAACATCTTCCTCTAGTTCATAGAAAATTAATTTTTGAGGATAATGAGCCAGTTATTTCAGAATTTTTTGATCAGTAATTCTTTGGAATCTGCTTGATAAAACTTCATGAGCAAAGTGTTGTTTGATTAAGTTCGTTAACATAATTCTTCTAACGCTCAGAAATCTCAGTATTGAGTAGTAGCTACAGGTAAAAATGATACCCCGGGAGTTCAAAGAGTATTGCTCCTCAAGTCTGTCCCTTTTAGATATATTATCACATATGAGTTTCAATGTTCTCAACAGTATTGAAAGTTTGAAGTGATTTCATCAGATGAACCGAATTTGTATATCTACCATAAAGGTCCTTACCCACCTATACATATCCAAGGCAACCAGATGACGTTCCAGTGACGTATTTTTCACGTCACTTGAATGACCAAGGGGACGTCAGTTGACGTCGCATGACGTGATAATGACGTGAATAAGTCACAGCCCTATGACGTCATATTACTCACGTCGTATTGACTTCATATACTCATCAAACTGTGACGTCCGACTGACGTCATAATGACGTCGATATGACGATTAAATTTCGCGATGATATGTTAAAAAGATTCCTTCAACATGATGTGATAAACACCACTGGCCTCTGATGACATTATATAATAATATTGATTAGGTATGCATTCTCGAAGTCTGCTTGGTGGGTCCCTCCTGTGTCATGTTCATTCAATCGCCCATTCAGCAGCGCTATCCTTCAGTACGCATCTCCATCAGAATGCAATCTGTTACTGGTATTCGTATCAAAAATTATGTAGTTTTGGGATCTTATGTGATGAAAACATTTTTTGGCTCGTTAGAATAAAAAAAAAACGATTTTTGTAACATCAAATTTTGAATTTATAAGCTATTATTTCTCGAAAAATGTAACACTTTGTATAAATGTATATATGGTCAAATTTCTTCAAGAACACATAACCTACCACCTCCGTCCGTATATACGTCGGTGAACCAAACATCCTGTATATACATAGCTTGTTGGTTTCAAGATATACAGTGTGTCAAAGTTTCTTAGAAAAAAGTTTTCTCCTACTTTTCGGGTATATTAAT